AACCGTTCAAAATTTAACCAGTGTAAACATAGATTTTTGTTATGATTCTTCAGTTGGTGGGAATAACAAAAAAGTCAACATATTTAAAGAAAATATAAGAGAAATTGTGAAGAATTTTTTTGTAAGTATTTTAAATGATTTTTTTAAAAAATTAAATATATTTTTCAGGAAAATGATCCAGAAACTTTTTTGCATTTGCAAAAATTAAATTTGCAAAAACGAATAAAAATTTTTATTGACAACTTAGCAAAACTAACAAAACTAATTGAAAACTGCACTGTTAAAAAATCTCAAAATCTAAGTTATTTGCCCGTTAAATTGGGCGTCACATCACTTGCTTTTTTTACCGATGAAGAAAAAGAAGCAATGTTGAATAACGATCTTTTAACAAAAGCTCCCACTTCAGTAACAGTTAACCAAAAAGATCATCCAGATTGTAGTGTGCACCCTCTTCCTGGAGAGCCAGAACTTCCAAATGAGTTTAACTGGGTGGACAGAAAAAAAGTTTCTAATGTTTACTCGCAGTTAAGTTGTGGTTCATGTTACGTGTTTTCTACAGTGTCAGGTAAAATAAAGTTTTTCATTTTTTATTTTATTGATGTCAGCTTATTTTTAGCTTTGGAATCGCAGTATATGATTGTCAATAATCTTACCGTCGCTCCTCACTTCAGCGTTCAAGCAGTTCTGAATTGTATGGAAAATGGTTGCAACGGAGGAAGTTTATATCAGCCCTTAGAACACTTTATAAAATTTGGAGTTACCGAAGATAGAAACGAACCATACGCTATTCAACAGGTTTGAATTCATTGATATATTTTATTTGTAAATAATAAAACAGTAATAGATTGAAGATTGTCATCATGACTACAAAGTAACAGTAAAAGCAAATTACTACTGCTTTCCTGAAAGTGAGGATGGAATTTTTACAGAAGAACAGATGCAAAGATATCTTTTAAGGCATGGTCCACTTGCAGTTGCAATTTCTGCCAGCAGTCCTGAGTTTCAGAATTTGAAAAACTCTGCTTTTAACGGTTATTGCTCAAAAAAGTTGTCACACGCAATTTTGTTAGTCGGGTGGAATCAAACGCATTTTATTCTAAAAAATTCTTGGGGTAAAACAATTTTCTTTTTTGCTTATTATTTAAACTAAATGTTTGTTTTTACAGGTGTTCAATGGGGTGTTAATGGGCTAGTAGTGACACTCTTAATGTTTAGCACATTTTAATTTAAAGTTTTTATTTTCAGATATCTTTATCTTCCACGAAGGGAGAACAAATGTGGCATTCAGCACCGCATGGTTGTCCCAATTATAAAAAAGTAACCTTATTCACTTGTTTCAATAAAAAATATTATTTTTAATAACATTGCAAGTTAAACAGTACATTTTACTTTGAAAGAATGATAGAGGATGAATATTCATTAAGAATATTACATTTGTTCACATTTGAGCCACCTTTAGGCAAACGAAAAAATCCATTTAAACCCCAGTTTTTTCCAAAACTATTTTTTAATAACCAGTATCCTGGTTCCCATCCTAAGAAAAACAAATTAAAAGGTTATATACTTTTTATAAACCTTTTTTTTGCTGTTTGATTACCAACTAAAAGAACACAATGACATGTGTTCATTGAACAGCCATTAGCTGTAAAAATTGCTGGTGAACCTTTAAGATACATATAAGATGGTCCTTTACTGCTTATACTCATGGAAACACCACCTGGTAAAAATTTAAGTGATAAAGTTTAAAAAAATTGTATAAGTGGTAAAATTTAACCAACCTGGGCCGTTTCTAAAAACTAACCGCTGCATTTCTTCTTCACTTAAACTAGAATGGTAGCAGTTGTGATCTGCTTTAACGTCAGGTGTAAAAGTTTTGCATGATTGTCTTCGTCCGTATGGCAATTTTTCAGCCTTTAATGCACCTTTTGAAACAAAAATATCATCAACATTGAACATTTGTCCTCCGCTGCAGCCGTTTGAAACGCAGTTGATTGATGCCATTTCACTGAAATGAGTTGATTTGCGTGTTTGTGTTGCAATCATGTGTTGACTTTCTAAAGCAGCAGTGGCCGCAAATGCGTAACAAGCTGTACAGCCACTTTGAGATTTTGCCGATGAAACGTATCCTTTTTCAGCCCAATTAAACGACTTTGGTATGGGCTGATCGCTAGGTAGAGCTTCGCGAGAGCAAGTATCTTCAAGTTTAGAGGGTAGTTTTCGAGTGTATGGCGGAGGTAGAGAACAGGGATACAAACAAGGCATAGAAGATGATTTGTGAGCTGGTCGTCCAGGTTGTCGAGGATTGTGTCGAACAGGAGTTCTTGAATTGTGTCGTGGGGCATTTCTAACACAGTTGCAAGTACATCTTCTGTTGTTTTTCACGCATCTGTTATTGGCTCTAGGACAACACTGGAGATGTCGTTTGATTCTCAATACATTTGAACTGTTCAGATTTAAGTGAGGTCTATTCATTATTTTTCTATTAAAAACCAATTTTTCAAACTCTTCTTGATTCTAAAAAACCAACTTTTAAGGTTAAACTTTAAAAACAAATAAAATTAAACACGTACAAATCCGGACATAGATGTCAGACCAAGACGTGTTTGTAGTTCCTCTTTACTTCTATTCAACACGCAATTTATCAGTAACCGTGCCAAGGTTTTCACACTGCCGATGAATGTTTCAATGCGCTTTATTGTTTGTTTTAAATTAAGGTTTTCTAGGTAAAACCAATTGTGTTGCTAAAAATAAAAAACATTTATTTAAAAGCAAAAATATAAAAATTTTTTAACTTACAAAGTACTTTTGAACAACTTCATGAATTGTGTTTTCAAACACATGAGCATTTTCATTTTTAACTATTGTGTGGTCATAACATTCTCTCAAATGGACTTTATGAGATGAATATACCTTTGCAAGTTTCTTTTTAAACTCTGGAAATAAATCGATGAATGTTTTGTTTAGTCCAGAATGCATAATGTTTAAAGCATTTAAAAAATGAGTTCTTTTTGAATGCAAAAACTCATTTTGATTATGATTTAACTCTTGGTTTGCATCTGCAAACCAAACTAAAAAGAATAACAAAAAACAAAAAATAAAATTCATTTTTCCGTTTAAAACTAAAACCCTGTAGTTGAATCGGGTGCATTTATTTAATTTTAGGCTCAAGGCTAATGAACAAAAACAATTAAAATTTAAATGAATTTTTACAACAGTTCAATGTTATTCTAAATTAATTTGATAAGTATTATTCAAATAACCTTCAGAATCAAATAAGTTTAACTTAATTTTTTATACTGAAAAAAATTGGTTGTTGTGTTTGTTTCAAATCAATTTCTAAATATTTAAAAATTTTTTGTTAAATAAATTTGGTGATTAAAACAATTTTGTGTATTAATCATTTTGTAGAAAGAAAGATGGCTGTAGCTACTAAAAATTAGTTTTTGATTGGTTTTAGGGTGACTAAAAGTATAAAGTTGTACATAGCACTGTGCTGAATTTGCTGTACGGTGAATGTGCAACATTACGCGCGCAATTGAACCAAAATCTATAATACTAAACTGCAAGCATTGCCGCACTGTACATAAACATTGCATAACGTTACCTTTTTTGCAATCATTCACTATTTCAAACGATGAATCCAGCAACTCCCAGCAAAATGCATATCAATTCTCTTGAAAACAAGTTCATACTTAAAGTTTTCTCTTATCTTCCTATTTCTGATCTTTGTCGACTAAATTTAATTTGCAAAAAATGGGCTAATCTTCAATCAGCAGTTTGTGCCCAGTCTCAGAGATTGTCTATACAAGTCAATATTCCTAAAAGATATCAAAATAATTCTATTTTTTCATTTCCTCATTTGGCGGAAGTTGAGAATGCACAACAAAATTTATTCAATCATAATCATAACTCTGCGGCATTTGAGAGTTTGTCATTTGCTCGATTTAATCTCGAAAACGTGTCTAAAATAGTCGCGATGTTTCCGTCTATCAATCAACTTGAAATCACTATAGATTCTATACTGCCTTTTCGTGAACACAATGGAGTAATGTTGGAAGAACTAACACCTGTTGTAACTTTAATTGAATCTTGTTCAAAAAATCTTCAAATTATCTACATCAACATTAGATTTTGTGGATTCTCTGGGTACATTTTTAATAAAACTTTTCTTCGTTTGGTGAAAGCTATCAATTCTTGCTTCAAATTAGAGCATCTAACATGTGAAATAAAAAATTCATTCGATTGGATAAACAATCAAGTACCTGAATTTGACTTAACGATTGTAAAGCAATTGAAATCTTTTTACTGGAATTTTCCACAAGTTCTAGAGCAAGTTTGGATCAACTTACACCAATATAATAATTTGTATTTGCAGTCTATTGGTTTTGGAAACATATGCAAGCAAGATTTAGAAACTGACTGTTTTAAAAATGAAGAAAAATATAAAAATTTATTTTCAAAAATTCACTTTTTTGAGTTGTTTCACATCAAAAGTAAACCTAAAGAAATTGCCATTATTTGTCAAAAGTTACTTCATATTCAGCGGTTTCATTTGTGTGTAAATTATTTAGAGCAACTGTATAGTCTTGTAACTTTACTGAAACCACTAAAACAACTCTTTTTCTTGGAACTGTATTTTTATTTAGAAAAAACATCAGACGATTTACAAAATAATATTCAAAACATTCCAGACCTTGAATCAGTACAAATATTTAATCTTCATTCAGACATCCCTTCACATGAAACTATCCAGAAAATTAAATGGGAAATAATGTTTCCCAATCTGGAAGTTCTCATTTTAAGCAACATTTATTCAAGTTGTAAAATTTGCATGAAAAACAAAGACGAAGATGATGGTGAAAGTAAGAAGTTGAAATGCATTAAACTGGCACTACAAGGATGGAAAAAATGCACTAAACTAAAGAAAATTTACTGTGTTTTTCAAAACAAAGAAATGATGATTGATATAAACTTGCTGTGATTTATTAAAAATAAATTTTTTATTTTTGTTTTCTAAACATCGTCTCAATTTTATCAGCAAGGATACTGTGCTTGTCACTAGCCTTTAGGCGATTTGAAATTGCTTCAAGTCTACTGTGCAGCTCTTTATCATAGAGCAACTTTTCAATTGCATCAATCAATTCATTATCTAAAAAATCATAATTCAGTCTGATACCTAGTTTCACTTCTTCAATTCTTTGAGCATTATCAAATTGATCGCCAAAGTTCGGTAACACAATGAGTGGTTTCCCTTCAGCAAGACTTTCAGTTACGGTATTGCAGCCTCCGTGACAAATGACAAGCTCTACATGAGGGAGAATTTTTTGTTGCGGCAAGTACCGATCCCCGTACATGTTTCCAGGCAGTTTAAGCTCGTCATGCCGAGGCCCCTTTGAGACAATGTACTTGTGCTCCGTTTTGCCAAGTAGTGAAATAAGTCGATTCATAAACTGCAAATCAGCTGATGCCATAGTACCTAAACTAACGTAAATCAGTTTTCCTCCACTTGACTTGCATCGTTCCATAAACTCTTCTGGAACGAGCATCGTCAACAAAGGAGATAGCAGCTTTTGGTTGGGATTAGGGCGATTAAAAATCTCCAAGTTGAACCATTTAGGTATAGATGCATAGTTTAATTCTTCAGGGAACCCATAAACGACCAGTGATGCTTCAGCAATTGGACTGATAGCATCCCCTGGGTACCGCTCATATCCAAGCTTTTGCACCATTTCTTGGTAGTCTGAAGAGTAGATTATTTCACGCCTAATTTTGTTGCACTCATCCCAGGCATCTCGACCACCAAATGTTGGCAAACCAAATCCACCTGGTGGTAAATCAGGATCAATGTGGAGAAAAGCTGGATTTCCACTGAAAGCTTGAATCCATGGAATGCCTGAAGCGCGAACAGCCGGTCTCAGGCCACCTGTTTGAAAAGGGTAAACAATGTTAATGTGAAACTCACAAAAATGCAAAGGAATACCATCCACCCACACAACATTAGGTTGGTACTTTTCAATAGCTTCTTTTATAGCAGCATTAAAACGAGAGAACTTATTCCTATTCTCCTGCGATTTAAAGTAAGTTGTCATTGTTTTCATCTTTTCTTCAGCACTGTTCGAGCCAATAGATTTGGCTGATAGAAGGTATTTAGCCATAGCTTCTCCAGGATTTTCCCCTTGTTTACATTCTGCGGTCTCAGTGTAAAGGTGCTCTTCAAAGCCAAGCAAAGCCAGTTTTCCTTTCCAAGCAGACTCAAGTACAAAAACGACTCGGTGTCCTCGAAGAAGGAGCGGTAATGTGGCGCCAATCGATGCATTAATATGGCCAACTCCCGTGACAGAAGTAACAAGAATGGTGAGACGTTCCATTTTGAGTGAGTATCCAGAGGAAGTGGCCGGAATCAAGTTTAAAAAGTAACTCTGATTTGTTAAACTTGTAAATACAGAAAAAATTGTTATTTTATTTATTGCATAGAAACCCAGGTCAGTTTATCAATTGATTGTCGCTAGGCTGCAGCTGAGTGGCAGTTGCGGCAATGAGAAGTATAATCTACAACAGAAAACTCTTCTGTTCAGCTGTTCATTTAAGAACTACATTTCTCTGTCAATTGATTTATCGGGCATCAGTATGTTAAAGCAGCAAAAATATCAAAGAGGCGCTTGTCAGCTGCCAAACTGCCTTTTGCTGATAACTAGATTTGCATCAGTGATTACCGTACATTAAACGCTAAAGTTGGTGTCATTCAGATCAGCAACAACTAATGCTCCAAATGAACAAATATGTGGCTTCAATGCTTTTCAAGAGGGAGAAAAACCGACAAATTAAAAAAGATTAAAAGCCAGCAAATAAATGCATCAAAAGGCAAACAAAACAACAGAAAAGTAAAAAACAAAGTCACCTGGCTTGAAAATGTAAACAATCCGTCAGATGAGGAAAAATGCTCCAAGGATTTACTTCCCTCTGAAACGCCCAACAACAGTCATTTAAAAAACAATTCTGCAGATGTGCCTGAAGAACCACTACCAAAAGATGGCCCTTACTGTGGAACTGTGCAAAGCCATCAAGTAACGTTTCAAAAGTCGTTTGCTCAAATCATCACAATCTCTACTAGTGCTGATTCGGACTCCAGTTCTGACTCGGGGCATGACTCTCGATCAAACTCCATCTCGCTGGTCAGTTATAGTGGTGTCACAAGCTCGAGTGGCACTTCTGCAAAGTCCTCAATGCCAAAACAAACAAATTTAAGAGCAGAGATTCTGATGGCTGCAAGAACGCCTTCAGGCACTTTGCCGCGAGCAGTTTCAAGGGTAAAACGTCCATCCCTTAGTTCAGCGTTTAAAAGTGAAGCTAACAAATAATGTAAATAAAGACGTATAAAGACGATTTCGAAGCTGATTTGTGTTTTTATTTATACATTGACTTGTAACTAAACAAAAATTGTATTGTTGTTGGTTTAAAGCATATTTTCTTTTGTTATTGAATTTAAAACTTTTCTAAGTTTGGGCAAACTCTTCCAAGGCTTCGCCAAACTGTACACACACTGCTCATTAAACTTATGATCAATAAAACTGGTGACAAACTTTTCTGAAAAATCTGGCTCCAAGCATGAACTGCAAGTGCAGTGCACAAACTGAGGATAAATTCGAACCACTTCAACAGAAGGAAAAACAAGAGGCCATTCCAAATACGATAAATCATTGCAGGTTTGTGTGTAAGCCTCAATAGAAAGAATTCGAACACTTAGGAGAGGTGAAACGACTTTACCATGATTGATTGATTCTGATAGAAGACGATGATGTGCACCAAAATACATAGTTAGGTGGATATAAATCAGATTTTGCAGAGAACTGAGACATTTTGCTAATTGATGAAGTGAGAGCTGTCCCAAATCAACTGACAGTCGTTTCAAACGAGTAAATGGCTGTTGTACAGTGCTGATTCTGTCAAAAGTATTTGCACAGAGAGGAAAGTTAATGTTCGGAGAGTGCGTAAGTTTAGAAAGTAGAGATGAACCCAGTTGAAGCAAACTATCGTAAGGCTGATCGAGAAACTCATTGCCAATACCAATTTTTTCAACTTGCAAGTTAGGACAGTTTTTGAGTAGCTTGACAATGCTAACAAGAGAATCGTGTGAAAAAAAGTAAAACTCTTTCAACTGATGGAGAATTGACAACTGCACTTTACAGGTGTCAATAACTTTGTCACTTATGTCAAGTGTTAGATGCTTTAGCTTGGTGCAGTCATTTAGAGTTAAGAAAAGTTGTCTGAAGAAATCCATTTTTTGCTCGACATCTGATTCAGAAGCAAATTTCAGGTACAATTGAAAAGAAACTAGTTTAGGAGACCAGAATCTTACTAAATGAAGTACATTTTGTATGCTTGAAAAGTCTTCACCTTCATGGAGCATCACTTTAAGTGAGTGAATGACAGGGATTGAGGTAGCTAAACGATGAACAATAAATGAAGTTAATTTTAAAACGTTACAAGTTGAATTTTCTTTTTTATTGTTTTGGTTTATTAAATGATGCAAAAAAGGAATAGTAATAAAAGAGGTCTCGATTAGCTTATTTGCCTCAGTCCCAAATTGAAAAGTTAAAGATTTTCGACGTTTAATAGCGGTTTTTTGCAAAAAAGTCCATCTAGAACAGACTCGACCAATTTGAACTAAATTATTAAGTTCCAGATAATCAAAAATTCGAATGATGCACAAATCAGGAAGATTATCCATTGTAGCGGTAACAAATGTAGCTTCACTGACAATTTTATATTAATCTGTTTGACAGACAGTGCTGGCTCAGTTCTGGTGGCAGACAGAAAGTCTGGTTTCAGGGCAGTGTTTGCCTACTATCTGCAAACTACCACAACAAGCCGTATTTTCCACACTGGCAAAACTGTTTTGGCAGCCTCTTATCAGAAAGGTTTGTGCGCTAAAAGAAGGTCAGATGATGTTGCCGTGAGAGGGAAAGTTGTTTTTATGATTTTATTTACTGATATGTAGCATTATTATCATATTTGGAAGTGTAGAGACTAGACGTGTTTACAAAAATTAAAAGGTAGAATAATGAAGTCAGGTGCTACTTGGAACTAGGCCTTTGCAAACTGACTGACTTGAAATGTTCATGAACAAAAAGAATTTAAAAATTGGTTAACTTTGTGTTAAATATGCTTTTATATGTTTAAATGACACTTTGCACCACTTAACTTTATTGCTTTGACACCCATTTTGCAGAAAATATGGTCAGCCACTGGTCCATCCTCTAGACAACAGATGGACGCACTTAAGCATTAACTGTTTGTTTTGATGCGGAGACGGGTGTTGGCTTCAGCTGATTTTTGGAGTTTATATCCGCATCAACACTTCCATCATGACCACGAGCATCACAAGCTTACCAGACGTCTGTCTCTTTGCCATCTTTGACCATTTGCCCATCACTGATTTGCTGAACATTGATAAAGTCTCTTCCCAGTGGGCTAATCTGAAGCAGGCAGCTTGTAACAGACGAACAGATCTTACCCTTTTTGTTGGAGATGATCCAGCTCTGAAATTGGTAACTAAATCGAGATTTCCTCAGTATTCCTCTTCGACGACAAAATACAGTACGGTCCATTGTTTCGGACTTAATCAAAACCTTGCCGATCGTCTCTCCGTTTTCATCAGCCTCACTACTCTAAACATTGCCATTTGTAATGTACCCAGCGGTGCTTTGGAAAGAGTACTTGCTCTGCTCGACAGTTCGGCGCCAAATTTGAAACACCTATTCATTCGCTTGAAGTTTATGGGCAAAGAACAGGGTGAAATAGTTAAAAGTCGCTTCTTTCGTCTGTTTGAAACAATTAACACGTTGATCAATCTTAAAGTTCTGGTTCTTGAGTACCAACACTTTTTCGGCTTTCAAGACATTCAACTTAATGTGCTGCAACACTTGCACCAATTCTACTTTCAGTCTATTGATCAGGGTAGTGCATTGCTCAATTCATTTGAAAGTTACGCTCAAGCAAACAAAAGTCTGACCAAAATAGGACTGCTCAATACTATCAACGACCAACGGTGGTTTGATCGAATTCTTAAACTTGAAAACGCATCATCATTTACGCATTTAAATATCCAGTTAAATGTTGAAGAGCGCACACTTGATCGATTTTGCTCTCGATTTTCTTCACTCACTGAAGTGCACCTCTGCATAGGCACCCTAAGCTTATGCCAGCTAACCACTGCGCTAGCTAAACTGACTCAATTAAATCGGTTGACACTTTCCTTGACTTTCATGGACCTTCGGTACAGACCACTGAGTGAGGAAGACAACACTGGGCATTCTATTCGATCGCTTACGACGATAGAGCATCTGCAAATCGTGGTCAACCTTTCGGCGCATAGCCAGCTTGAATCAGCTCACTTTGGATTGATCTTTCCTCAAATAAAGCAACTGTCTATTGAATACTACCTCCATGGCTGCAGGGACTGTGGACTTGAAGTGAGAAGCGGTGAACCAGATGAGATCATCAACAACTGTGTCAGACACCTAGTCAAACCGTGGATAGCTCAGTGTACTCGACTAGAACGAGTGGTGACCATTTTCGGATACACAGGACAAGAGCGTGAGTGGCCTATTGAACGATAGAAGAACATTTTTTACTTTGTTCTATAATATACTTACCGCAATTCCAAAATAAAAACTGTGCGTTTACACTTTATAAACACGACACAATTTTCTTGTGAAAAGCATTATTCAAAATAAGCATCAAGCAACTGAAAGCAAAGCATGGATCCAATCTTGCCTCCAGAGCACCTGACAGCAGCGGTCATCGTAGAGTCTTCGCTGGCCACTCCAAGCTCCATTTTTACGTACTACGAGATGACCAGTAGCCGGACAGAGTACATTGCCGGTCTTGGTGCCGGCGTCGCATCCGTCCTGGTCACCTTTCCGCTGAACAAGGTCAGCTTCCGGCAGTCACTGTGGGGCTTTCACTTCATGGACGCCATTCGACAGCTGTCGATGGAGGGCGCTGTTTGTCTGTTCCGAGGGGCGCTGCCGCCTGTCCTCATCAAGTCTATAAACTCTTCGGTGATGTTTGGCACCTTCAGCCAGTACCGGCACTGGCTGATGGCGCACCCCTCTGTCAGCGAGTCAATGGCCGCCCACCCGCTGGGCTGCACCTTTCTCGCCTCGATGATGGGCGGCTCGACGGAGGCGATGCTGACGCCCCTGGAGCGCATTCAGATGATCCTGCAGGATGACCGCAACAATGCACAGTACCGCAACACCGTGGACGCCTTTCTTCGCCTGCGTCGGTACGGAGTGGGCGAGTACTACCGCGGTCTGACTGCCATTCTCCTGCGCAACGGTCCGGCCACCTTTCTCTACTTTGGCTTCAAGGACACCCTCAAAGAGCGCCTCCTGCCTGAGGATGGACCGCTGCTCAGTGGAATAGACAGTGGTCTTCGCAAGGAGGCCATTCGCAACTTTCTCACCGGAGCGACTCTCGGCTGTGTCATCAGCTCGCTCTTCTACCCGCTCAATGTGATTCGCATTCAGATGCAGACGGCAGAAGTGGGCAGCAAGCGAATGTCAGTGTGGGCGGCTGGAAAGGCACTCTACGAGGAACGAGGTGGCAAAGTGCGCCTGATGACTGCAGGCATGGGCATTCACGTCACCCGCAGCTTCGTCTTCTGGGGCTGCATGACGCTCTTCAGCGAACTAGTACGCGACTGTCTCCACAAGTTCCAATCCTGATAGTGAACAGCAGGACGCATGTGAACACCGGAAAAGCACTTCTGCCCACCACAGTGCTTTATTTTGGCAATTTTATAATTACATTTTAATGAGCAGCAGTATAAAGCCAGCAAATGTTAGCAAAACTGCGGTGACATTTGAGAGCGCCATTAGTGGGTTTTTGGTGCTTAGAGTGAATGACATGTGCTGAAGTATTAACGGCAACGACATCAAGTGAAGTGCTCGCAAAAATCGGAAACCCAGCCACGTCCGATCTAGGTAAATTGACACAAACATTGGCGGAATACTGAAAACATCGACAATGGTGTACAGCTCCAAGAGAATGTATAGCTTGTTAGTTGAACGAGCAAACTGAAAAAAACACACAGTGAGAAGCATTGACAATTGAGTATCAGTACTTACTCTTAAACAGAAGAACAGTAGAAAGTAGACATTGAGCACTAAATCAATTTTTTGCGGCAAACTATCTGTCCATATTTGACAATACTCTGCGCTGTGTGAGGTAGAAGATTCTTGAAAGAAGATTCCGAGGGAAAGCATTGAACAGAAAAAATTGACGACTACTAAAACTTTGCCAAGTGTTGAGGTAAACAAAGTAATAGATAGTCCGGGAATAAGTTTTTCAGAAACTGTCAAAGAAAATCTATCAGCGTTTTCTAAATCAGACGCTGAGTTAGGACAACATAAAGAGTGAAAAATTCGAGCAACTAAAACGATGATGATTGACGTGACTAAACTGAAAATGCTTGATAAAAAGAAAATAAGCCATTTTCTGTCAGATAAACAAAAATATTCTTCTTCTTTTGGGATGAGTATCATTTTCAGGTAAACAAAGTAGTTTTTTCCAAAATAATGAAGTAAACTAAATATTAGAATGAAGTTTGTCTAAGAAATACCGTCTGTAATACAAAAAACTGCGCAAACAGGTTTCTTCATTCTTTTAAACGGCCAATTGACTATATGATATGCAATGTCGTCATTATCACGAAGCATGATTCAGTGGTTGCACCAAGGTTACCTGCAGATGTTCCGCAGTGTGTCATTGTTTAAAGCGACTGTTTCCTTTTACGTTGCTAATTGAATTGTTGAGTTTTTGAGCGTGTTTCTAAATAAAATGTTAATGATAAAAATTGTGTACTTGGTGAAAATTAATGTTTCGGTGTTTTGAAGTAAGAACAAAATATTTTTTGCGAGAAATTCAAATTAAACTACACTGTTTCCAATGTTGAACAACAGGTAGAGCTAGCAGGAGAAACAGAAATAGTGTCCACTTTTCTGTTGATGATGCAGAGCCAGCGTTAGAGCACTTTAACTTTTGGCAGTGCATCTGCAGCGGAAAATTGGACATAATTCCTGTTACTGGTTGGCAGTTTTTGGAGCTCAGAGTTTGGACAACAGCCAGTTTGAGCTTTGTTATTGTCGTACATCTCGAGTACCTAAGTATATAGTACTGAAAAAAAGTAACCTAACTTTCACCGTACTGCGCAACAAGTAATCTAAAGTACTTGAGCCCCATTGTCCTTAAAATGTTCTTGACTATTTGAATGTACTAAGGGTGAGTTTTAAATCTTTTCAAACACCATTAAAAATTCGTCCTGACATTATCTGCCACCAATGTGTAGATGATTCAAAACTTTCTAATAACTCTGGCCGTGGGTGTTGTATTTGGGGCTATTGCTCTTTTCGTTGCTCAATCGGAAGCCCGGGAAGAGCCTCAATCTTATGATAGCCGCCGTCGCCGAGCTCGATCGCCGAACCCAGATACGAACACTGACTCCACAAACATCCCAGTACAGCCTTCAAGCAACTGCTCAATTTGTTTTGAAAACTTTAGCCACGCACCTTTGGAACAGCTTCCTTGTTTTCACTTGTTTCATGCCAAATGTTTGATTCGGTGGCTTGAGACCAACAGACGCTGCCCCATTTGTAGATCTGAGCTATCGGAAAAACAGTTCCAAGTCTACAAAAAACGAAACACACCATATTTAATCTAACTCCTCACTTATTAAACTGAACTGCTGAAACTGCCTATTACAAAACCTTGCTTGCTGCTTAGTGATATGATTTGTGTTTATAATAAATAATCAATTTATTTGTAAGCTCAAGTACGTTAATAAATAACTATTTTTGCTTTATCATTTAGTCGTCATCGATTTTGCAACCTTGATAAAGGATCAACTCTTCAATATCAGGCGCTCTGAGAAGTACATTGAGCACCTCATTGTTTCCGACGTAATTGTGACCTCTTAGATGCTTCATGAACTCATTGACAAGTAAAATCATGAAAAACATGCGGAAGCCAACGCTGACTATGAGAATGAGAATGGCCACCATGACCCAAGTGTGGAAAGGAACGCTAAAATTTGATATTCTGTAGTGGAATAAATCAAAACTCGTTAGTTAATGAAAAACGCCAAAGTTATGTTGAAGATACTTACGTAACCAGCTTATCAAAGAGAGATGAATGCCTGAGAACTAACTTGAGGAGAAACCCACCAACTTCTTGCATCGATTGGAGCTTCTCTCTGAGTGACTCTTCCTTTAACTCTTCTTCCTGTTGCAGTATTTGATTAATCTGCTCTGATGATGATGATGATGACATCCTTTCATGGCTTTCCGCCAGGTCGCTTAGACTGTCAGCAGACTCCGATGAGGCAGAAGAGCTTTCCCCATTAGTTTCATGCTGTTTATGTAAAAATAATTACAATGCTAAAAACGTCGGCTCCGAATAGTCATAGTGCAGTATTTACCTCTTGTTCGCCAATTGTTGCAATCTGTTTAGAGAACTCCTTTTTGTACTTCTTCGTTTGAATGACAATGAAGTTCTGGAAAATGTACAAGAGCCAGGCCAAGGTACAGTGATACCACTCAAAGTACCAGAGAAATGCAACCGAGTAGACGACTCCGACAACTGATCGAATGGGGTACTGCCAGGAGATGATGGTGTTCCAGAAGCTCCACCAGTCAACGATCAAATTGATCAGAGCCTTCAATCGAAGAGCATTTCGCATAAAGTGAGCTTTTTGAAATTTAGTCGACTTAGGAATGATACGCGTTTCTTTCTTGGTGAATATGGCCCTAGCACCACATTTGATCCAGTTGTAGTCGATACCAAACTCTAGATGCAGTTTCCCCGGAATTGCAGAACGAAACTTTTGATCTTTTAACTGATACCAGTGCTTGCTGCCGTTTTCAATTTCAAGCAGTGGTACGACAGCTTTTCCGATAAACTTGCTTTTATGTTTTGATTCTTCATTGTACACAGAGACTTCTAAATAGTGAAGAATGTCCTTTGGATTGCTGCGTAAACAAATGAAAAGATTAAAAAATACTCACTTTTTTTATTTCACACTTACAATTCAAAAGTTTTTGCCCATTTTGGACTTGTCGTTTTGTATTCAGTGTGGGTGCGATATTTATCATTCATCAGCTCCACTGTGCAAAAGGGATTTACTTTTTGAGATCGAATATGGCCGAGATCAGCTTCAATGACTGCATCATGGAATGTGCAAATGAAGTTAATCAAATTTAGCAAAAACAATCACTAAATACCTTTAACTTTCAAGGTGCCCACATCATACAGATTAACTAGTCCTTTAGCGAAACCATTGTTTTCAATTTTCACGTCTGAATTGAGTGAATCCCAGAATCCTGAATCAAGTGAAGCAAGTGAACAATTCTCACCAAAACCATTGACACAGACGCCCAACGGTTCGGCGACTCGTTTTGGGTAGCCACCAGTGACTGTTACTTGCAGCTCAATTAATCGTTTATCGACATAATCAGAGGTAAATTTTTCATCGCGGCGATAAACAACGTCCACTGATAGGTGCTCGAGATTAATGACTGTTTTCTCAAAATACTGCTCGGATGGTTGCCCCGAGGCGCAGAGAAATATTTCTAGCAGTTGTGATTCAGGTGCTGGGTAGAGATGAAAATTGAACTCTTCTCCCCAGTAGGGAAAGGTGACTGAAGAGGCGACAAGCTGCAGCAAATTTAAAAAAACGCATTTTGTTTTCATTATTGGTAAAAAGAGCGACAGCAACACAAGAAGACTTACTTTACTTTTACATCGAGCTTTTCCCAGTTTAAACTTCAGGTAGTAATCACAGCCAATGTCCAAATGTTTGCCCCTTATGAGCACCACATTAACGACATTCTTGTACTGCTGTTGCAGTGGCAGCGGTGGTGACTGCGTGGGCCTCTTTCTGGTGTCCCGTTTCGATTTGGTCGACAATGACCTGAGTTGAGGAACAGCTGGTGTTGTCAGTGGCTGTTGCTGTTCCTCCTGGAGAAGAACCAAACTGTCTTCACTGTTGCTCTCATTGTCGTGCACCACTATGACGTCGGCGTCCTCCAGCCCTGCCAACACTTCGCCAACACTGTCCTCACTAACAAGATTGTCTTCGAAGCTAGTGATGTAGTTTGCGTTTATGTCAGGATGGCTGGATGTAATACTAAGTTGGGATGATAAGAAGTGATGATAAGGGACACTGTCCTCGCTATCAACCGACGGTCGACGGCCACTGATGAAGGAGAGCCACCGCTGTTTGGTGGAACTGAATCGATGCAGCAGAGTCTGACCCTCAATACTCATACTTTTTCGAAGAGTCGTCCGCCGAGTTACCGTCTGTATTTCCGGTGGCTCAGTTGACTTTTCTCTGGGCAGGAAAAATTTGGCAAAGGTTTGCAGTTTCCTGAGGCCATCACTGTCGCCGAGCAGTGCTGCGAGCCCGGAAGGGGCGTTTGCATTTTCAGCAGAAAATGATGGATGAAACTCGCCATCTTGCAATGAACTGTCGACCTCAGGATTTAGTGGCACAAAACAGTACAAAATGTATATCACTATGAGCGTCCAAAAAATCGAGGAAGGAATGGACACAAAAAATGTCAACGAAATAATAGTGAAGGCGACAGGACTGAGGTGTTTGTAGACTCGCGTGGACGGAACGTCTTCGAGAAGAATGTAATTCTGTTTGATTTTTTTGGCCATTTTGAAG